GATTTTCATAAAGTCTTTTTGTGAGAATACCAGATTCTAGAAGGCTCGTAGTTCCTTCTTTGCCAGTGGAAATTTACAGATAGAATCCATCCTTTCTGTAGATAATTTGCAAAGTCCATGAAATAAAACATATTCCACTAGTGGCTGGGCAATGATAGCCCTTTATCCCTAACAACTTTCTATCCAAACTAGCATAGATGTTACAGTAGTGAAACGCATTATTCAACATTGTCTTGTCTGATAGGACTGGAAATCAATAATCACCCATACACTGGACCAGTTTAGTGGCAGTGGTGTTATTACATAGTGCTAAGTCCAGTTTCACAAGTTTCAGGAGGAACACTGGAGTAAAAATCTCTTCAGAGACTTTTGAATTTACTTCTTGGGTGCCTGCTTGTCACTCATGAGCAGCATTGGATCAACCGGCAAATTAACCTTGATATGATCACCTGAAAGGAATATATAAATTATAGATCGCATATATATTCTTAGACAGTGCAAATTCATGTTTTTCATTCTTTGTCCCTAGACCAGAAGCTTCAGAAGGGGACTTTGAGTTACTGTCTCCCAGGATTCAGTCATAGAAACAATTTTGTGGTTTAATTATCCATTTTAAATATAAAGTGAATTTTAGTAAAGCCCCACATTTTATCTTATCAGCAGCTCTTGTTCAATGGTTTCTCAACTTAAAATAATTTCATGGTGTAAAAAATGTATGTAACACATTAAACAAGTCCTAAAAACCAAAACACAGTGAGGGGGTGCAAGTAAAACAATAAATAATACTTATAACTGTGAGACCTCTTGATCAATCTGTAAAAGATAATATAACAGCATAGACATAGCGTGGTACTGCATAAAAAACAAGTTGATCTATAACAGAGGTATTGGGCCACTCACAATCTTCAGAGCCTTCGGAAGCAGGCTCTCACTTTAACTGTATTCGAATAATAAACTTATTCAGGCTTTCAGCACGATATCTCTATCTCCTCTTCCAGATGAGAATACATAAATCAATATAAATGAGGAAGATAAGTATTTACTTCAAAATAAAACAATGATGAAATAACAGCAATAAAAAACACGATAAAATAGCAAAGTCCAAGAACACTAACACGTTACGATCTTTCAGTCTTTTTCAAAGTGCATAAATGAACATCGCCCAGGGTTGATTTAAATCTATACATTTTGGAAATTGATTTCCCTGCCTTGTCCTGTTCCGTACTTTACGTCCGCATTGTGACATCATCACGTCACTTGCGTCTATGTGTGAAACCGTCTTGACGTAGTGTATACAGGCGGAGTCCTCTATTTTTCCTAACCCAGAAATGGGGTAATCGAAAGTCCCAAAACCGCCATAACAGTGATGGGCATAATAAATCTATATAAAAAATGTTCATAAAGAATTAAGCTGGACAAAATTGAAGCTTCAAAAAAGGCAAGATAAGTTAAAATAACATTCTTAATAAAATACGCTTTTTAATAACGAGTTAAAAACACATATAATATATAATATGAAGCAAATTTATATTTTCTTATAATAAAAGGAGAAAGGGCAACTAGTTAAATAAGGGCTGCCATCTCAAAGTTCACGTTAAGCCCACTAGGGGACAAGGTGTCCAGATTGAATATCCACCTCATCTCACAGTGGCCCTTCCTTAATTTGGAAGGGAGATGAGCTTTCTGTCTTAGAATTGTTAAACTTTTTAAACTCAAATCAATGGAATATTCATGTAACTCAAGAATTCAGTAGACATAACATGAATTTCTTGGATCTAGAGATTTATATAAAAAAAGATAGATTCGGGAAATGGATAGAAAATCTCTACTTATCTATAAACCTAAAAACAAAAGAGAAGAAAATAAAAAAAAGCCTTTAATAACATTGTATTGCCTGTATTGGCTATCTGCCGAAAGCAGATAGCTGTATTTCATTTCGTTTCACGAACGGCACCTTTGCGGGCCGTTCGTGAACCGAATAAACCACCCTGTAATAGCCCACACATTAAGAGATGTGTGGCGCTTGTTAACCGATTGCAACAATGTTGCAATTGGCGGTCGGCCATCTTGGATCCTTTGTTCCCCCAGCGGTGTTTGGTCGTCGAGCGCGTGGTACTAAAAACTGCTACTCGACGGCGCGAACACCGCTGGACTTCCAGGCCGTTCGGGGCTTCCGGGCCATTCGGTATTTTATTCCCCATATGCCAATCGGTCTTTTGAATGCATGTTTTGGTGAATATGTTTTTCGTGCGGCGTTCGGTTGTTGTAGCTGGGATCTGAGCGGTAATCTCACGAATGATGCGCTCAGACCCCAGCTATCTAATAAACGTCCATTCGTGCAAATCAACCTAATATTCAAAAAGTTGTGTGTTTTAATATAAATTGCCGGTTCTGCTGCACGGAGGGATAATCCACTTAACGGTACATTCCAGTGGGAGGATCCCTCTCGTGCAGCAGTGCCTGATGGGAGAAATGCTCTGTACTTTAAGTTCCCCACGTAGTCCACTCCTGGAATACCCCTGGGATAGGACTCAGGAAACCCCTTGCATGGGGAATTCTATAAATTGTGGAGCCTGTGAATAAAGCCTCAGTTGACTCTCAGAACTGTGTTTCGTCCGGTTACGGGGAGATTTGGGATATTGCCTTACTTTTCAGTGCATGACTGTGGATTACCTTCTGAACCAGCGGAGATCGTGGGATTTAATATTGCCGCTCCGCTACAGGTGCTATACTAAATTTTTGTACCCTGCCTTGAGCCCAGTGCCACAGAGAGTGCAGTGCACTTGCAACTGCATGTGTGCCAGACACATTACTTTAATCCTGTTCTGGTAGCTCATTTGCGTACTGCATTTCTTGCAGGCTAATAAAACCCTTAAATACTACTGTTACATTGTTGCTTTAAAAAAAATTAACTTTTTTGTGTTAAATTGAACATTTGCGGCCTGCGGTGCATTTCTTGCAGTCCAATAAAACACTTAAATACTACTGTTACATTGTTGGTTTAAAAAAACACACTTTTTTGTTCTAAATAGTACATTTGCGGCCTGTGGTGCACTTCATATCTGAGAGTCAAATAGAACCGTCAAATACTGTGGTTACAGCGCAGTTTTAAAATCTCTAATTTTTTAGGTGCTAAATAGTGCATGTTACACAGCGTGGGAAAGTTCTTTGGAATTTTCGCACGCTGTGTAATTTCACTCATAACAACACTCTGATTGGTGGATTAAGTGTGATTCCCCTCCCGGCCAGCAGGTGGCGGTGTGTGTGTGATTCCCCTCCCGGCGAACAGGAGGTGGCAATGTGTGTGTGTGATTCCCCTCCAGGCCAGCAGGTGGCAGTGTGTGTGTGTGTGATTCCCCTCCTGGCCAGCAGTGGCAGTGTGTGTGTGTGATTCCCCTCCTGGCCAGCAGGTGGCAGTGTGTGTGTGTGTGATTCCCCTCCTGGCCAGCAGGTGGCATTGTGTGTGTGTGTGATTCCCCTCCCGGCCAGCAGGTGGCAGTGTGTGTGTGTGTGTGATTCCCCTCCCGGCCAGCAGGTGGCAGTGTGTGTGTGTGTGTGATTCCCCTCCCGGCCAGCAGGTGGCAGTGTGTGTGTGTGTGATTCCCCTCCCGGCGAACAGGAGGTGGCAATGTGTGTGTGTGATTCCCCTCCTGGCCAGCAGGTGGCAGTGTATGTGTGTGTGATTCCCTCCCGGCCCAGCGGGTGGCGGTGTGTGTGTGTGTGTGATTCCCCTCGGCCAGCAGGTGGCAGTGTGTGTGTGGTTCCCTCGGCCAGCAGGTGGCGGTGTGTGTGTGATTCCCCTCCCGGCCAGCAGGTGGCAGTGTGTGTGTGATTCCCCTCCTGGCCAGCAGGTGACAGTGTGTGTGTGTGTGATTCCCCTCCCGGCGAACAGGAGGTGGCAATGTGTGTGTGTGATTCCCCTCCAGGCCAGCAGGTGGCAGTGTGTGTGTGTGTGTGATTCCCCTCCCGGCCAGCAGGTGGCAGTGTGTGTGTGTGATTCCCCTCCCGGCCAGCAGGTGGCAGTGTGTGTGTGATTCCCCTCCTGGCCAGTCACCCAGCACTGTGAGGGTTAATGGTCTCTACCTGGCCAGTCAACCAGCACTGTGAGGGTTAATGGTGTCTACCTGGCCAGTCACCCAGCACTGTGAGGGTTAATGGTCTCTACCTGGCCAGTCACCCAGCACTGTGAGGGTTAATGGTCTCTACCTGGCCAGTCACCCAGCACTGTGAGGGTTAGTGGTCTCTACCTGGCCAGTCACCCAGCACTGTAAGGGTTAATGGTCTCTACCTGGCCAGTCACCTAGCACTGTAAGGGTTAATGGTCTCTACCTGGCCAGGCACCCAGCACTGTAAGGGTTAATGGTCTCTACCTGGCCAGGCACCCAGCAATGTGAGGGTTAATGGGTCTCTACCTGCCAAGTCAGCCAGCGCTGTAAGGGTTAATGGTCTCTACCTGGCCAGTCACCCAGCGCTGTGAGGGTTAATGTCTCTACCTGGCCAGTCACCCAGCACTGTGAGGGTTAATGTCTCTACCTGGCCAGTCACCCAGCACTGTGAGGGTTAATGGTCTCTACCTGGCCAGTCAACCAGCACTGTGAGGGTTAATGGTGTCTACCTGGCCAGTCACCCAGCACTGTGAGGGTTAATGGTCTCTACCTGTCCAGTCACCCAGCACTGTGAGGGTTAATGGTCTCTACCTGGCCAGTCACCCAGCACTGTGAGGGTTAGTGGTCTCTACCTGGCCAGTCACCCAGCACTGTAAGGGTTAATGGTCTCTACCTGGCCAGTCACCCAGCACTGTAAGGGTTAATGGTCTCTACCTGGCCAGTCACCCAGCACTGTAAGGGTTAATGATCGCTACCTGGCCAGGCACCCAGCACTGTAAGGGTTAATGGTCTCT